GAGTGGACTGGCTGGCTTGCTTGGCAACGACTTGGGCACAGGGGTGGGCCGACATTGCACACAAATGACACCGCTGCTCATTGATGCTTACCGGTATGTTGGATTGAGGGGAAGGGTAGGTTCTAATTGATGCTCAACTGGAAACACAACGATACCCACTCATCATACATCTGCAGCATGGTCTTTTTGTATTCTTGATTAGTTGGTGGACAGGCTGCTAACACCTCACAGACAGATTAGAGTAGGACTGTTGTATACTACCATAGCCAGTTCTATCTAATGCTGCTGTAAGTGAACCAATCAAGATACATCTAGACTATGTTGACAATCTGTTGTGAATGTTGTAGGCTGCCACTTGATCGGTAAAGTAGGGGACCTGCCGGACACAACTATTTTTAGAAAATTAGGTGCCGGTCAGACACATGCTGTGGTAGAATTCCACTAGGGGATTCTAGTGCAGATAATGTTTGCCTAATTCATGAACGGGTCAGACATCGATGAGGACGCAGTTGACGATGCGAGACTGACATGTTCGAGATCACGTAGGATCCCGCACGTGTTCCATGCCTTACAACCGGAAGACGAAAGGTGGCTTTGTGCCGAACGTAGAGCCCGTGCACTAGCAGCAGCTAGGGACACAGCGAACGCCGCAGCTAGGGAACAGGCTGCAGCAGCAGCCAGAGCAGTAGCCATGTCTTCTGCAGCAGCATCCTCGGTTGCGTCCTCGTCTGGGACCAATGGGACCATGTTGGGAATGCCCACAGGGTCCACGGGTACTTCCAGTTCGTTAGGTTCTCGTCAGTCTACAAGTCAAATGGCGGGCTCACAGTTCAGCCCGTTGACTTCTCGCGAAAGGGAGCTCAGAGAACTCCAACAGGTCGAAAGGATCCGTGAACAATTACAGAGGGAACTGAAACAAGCTACCGACAGAGAAAGAGAAATCAAAAATCGAACAGCCAGGCTTGATACGTTAGAGGCTGACAAAGCTGAGTTAGAGGGATTGGACGAGTCAGGACTATCTAACCCAATGAAAGTGTTGAAGAACAACATGCTGTCGCTGCATGCGCACGTGGACAGCAGGTTAGACTTCATGCAGAACACTTTGGACCAGATCCTGGACATTTTGCAAACGCCAGGATTTAGGCCACCAGCACAGTCGCAGTTGCCGTTAACGGCGATGTCTGGCCCCTTTCCAGTTCAAGCTGGCACACAACCAAGTGGCACGTCTGCAGCAGCCGCACAGACTGTTGCTTCTTCTTCTTCGGGTCCAGTGGGGGTTGCTACACCACCACAACAACCTGTTCCTCAGCAGGGACAGCCGCAAGGTCAATGGTACCCTAAGACCCCAATGAAACCGCCTCTTGCCTTCTCAGGCGAGAGGAAGGACGAAGAACTCAACACTTGGTTGAGAACAGTTCCGGTTTGGGTGAAGGCGAAGAGGACCTTGCCAGAGGACGAAGTGGTTACTGCTGCATCTTACCTCGAAGGTAAGGCAGCCAAATGGCTAGATGGTATAGTTGCAAAGGTCGGGTATGGACGACGCATGGCGGATTGGGCTAAGTCAATTACCTTAGACCAGTTCTTCGAGATGGTAGAAGCTCGCTGGCACAATCCTCAGCATGCACAAATAGCCACTGATGCGATAAACAGACTAGATCACAGAAAGTTTAAGTCAGTCAGAGAGCTTACGACTACCACGGAGAGCCTCATCGTCGTTCCAGGCATCAACTACAGTGACCAGTTCCTGTTGACTACGTTTGTTAGATGTCTTCCAGAGAACCTCAGGAACTTGCTGGTCAGCGAGGCTCGCCTCGAGTACCATTTGTTTGAGACATTGTTTAGAAAAGCCTTAGACTTAGAGGCTACACTAGGAAATGCTCAGCCCTCTCAGAATGATGCGAGGAAGAAGAAGAGTCCGCAGGAATGGAAGAAGAAGGGGGCGAAGTTGATGATGGTTGAGTTCGATGGGACTCAAACAGAGATTGATGAGCTCACAGACCTGCTGGACATTTCAGAGTACGACTGCGAGGAGACCGCAAAGGGTAGCACCCTCGCCGAGGTAGTTAAGGCTAAGGCTGGTGGCCGAGTGAAGGGCCAACCAAAGAGTCAAGGGAAGGCCGCCTCCAATCAGACCAAAGTGGCTGATTGGGTTAAGGCAGGTCTTGATCAAGACGTGTGGCGGGACCGCCGAGTCCGTGGCGCTTGTATAAACTGTGGTGAATACGGACACACCCATGACAAGTGCCAAAACGCCAAGGTCACGCAGAAGATACCTCCTAAGATGGGGGCATCTTCTTCCCAGGCTTCTAGCTCGGGAAACATGTGAGGCCGGTGGAAGTTTTAGCTGCTTCTACTCATGGTGAAGTGGGCCTGATACCCTCCCCACTTCATGAGCAGGCCATAGCTAATGACTCTTCAGTCACCTCGCAGACTCATCTAGACCAAACTATGCTATGTACGTTAGATGTGTCTGAAGTCTTAGAAGATTTGGAAAGTGAGTGGTCAAATAAGGACCCTCGCGAATCTTGGGTGGCGCTAAGGAAAGGTCCTAGAGGGGAACATTTCGTGGTGGAAGTCGATGTAGGAGGCCGCAAATGTGGTGCCTTCATAGACATAGGCTCCACGCGGAATTACATAAGTCGCGACTGTTTGGAAAGGCTGCACCCACAGGACCGGGTACGGCACCTTAGTAGACCTGTAGCATCTACTTTGGCCAACAGGGAGCGTATAATAGTCGCAGACTATATCAAGGACGTAGTCTGTACCTTCTCCTATCGAGGAGGAGAACTCAATCATAAGATTTCGTTCTTGGTTAGCGACGATTTACCATTCGACATGTTGTTAGGCATGTACTACCTTGCGGTTGCTAAGCCCCAGTTCGATTGGGATAAGAAGGTGCTAAAGCATCAGTTGCTCGATGGCAGGACAATCAGATTGACTAAGTTCAAAGCCAGTAGCATAATAGATACCTATGGCTGCTTGTGCGCATCAGCGTTCTATAACTATTACAAACAGAACCAAGAGGAAGGTATGTACCTTGTGTATGTCTATGAGAAAGGGGATGCCGTTAAAACACCCCCAGAGATAGAACGCATCATTGCTAAGTTCCCTGATGTGTTCGAAGAGCCCACAGGGGTCATAGAAAGGGAAGTTGTCCACGCTATAGAAATCATCCCAGGGAGTAAAACCCCAAAGGGGAGGATCTATAGGATGGCTCTCACCGAGTTAGATGAACTCCGGCGACAACTGAAAGAGCTGACAGAGAAGGGATGGATCCGGCCTAGTACTTCCCCTTATGGATCTCCAGTGTTATTCGTACCGAAGAAGGGGGGTACATCGAGGATGTGCATCGACTATAGAGGCCTCAATGCCATCACCGTGAAGAACGCAGAGCCTCTACCTCGCATAGACAACCTACTGGATAGGGTGCAGGGATGCAAGTACTATAGCAAGACAGCTTTTCAGACTCGATATGGTCTGTATGAGTTTGTAGTGATGCCCTTTGGTCTTTGCAATGCGCCAGGAACATTCGAGCACGCTATGAATCGGATCTTCCATGACCATTTAGATAAGTTTGTCGTGGTTTACCTTGACGACATTCTGATCTTTAGTAAGTCTGCCGAGGAGCATGCACAGCACGTTGAGACTGTACTTTCACTCCTGCATCAGCACAAGAGTATCCGCGGAAGGGATTAGGCCGGAAGATGCGAAGGTGGCTAGTATTCGAGACTGGCCACGACCTCAAACAATCACTGAGGTCAGATCTTTCTTAGGAATGTGCGGCTACTATAGGAACTTTGTAAAGAACTATTCTACAATCGCCTCTCCTTTGACAGATCTAACTCGACTTGACACGCCATGGGACTGGAGTGATGAGTGCAAGGGTGCTTTCAAGCGATTGAAGCATGCACTCATGAATCATGAAGTTCTCACGGTTCCCGATCCTCAGAAGCCGTTCATAGTGACCACTGACGCAAGCCAATACGGCATTGGCGCAGTGCTGGCTCAACAGGATGGGAAGAAGTTGAGACCGATTGAGTACATGAGCAAGAAGATGCCATCTAAGAAATTGGCAAAGTCCACCTACGAAAGGGAACTCTATGGTCTCTACAAGGCACTTGTCCATTGGAGACATTTCCTGTTGGGACGGCTCTTCTACTTGAGAACTGACCATCAGACGCTCAAATGGATCAAGACTCAACCCGCTCTTTCTGATGCACTCAAGCGATGGATTGAGGTCATAGATCAGTATGACTTCAAGCTTGAGTACCTGAAGGGAGAGTACAATAAGGTTGCAGATGCGCTATCACATAGGGCAGATTACCTAGGGGTGCTAATTTTTGACTTTGGTGTATCTGAAAAACTGACTCAATCGTTGGTGGGAGCCTATCAGGAAGACCCTGTCATGATGGACATCATGCGCAAACTTCAGGCAAAAGACAAGGCCACAGAAAGTGAGTTTGTGATGGTGGATGGGTTACTGTTTCTTGATAAGGCCGGGTGTAAAAGGTTAGTTGTTCCATCGAGTGAGAGTTTGCATAGTTTATTTCTAGGAGAATGTCATGACGCAACCGGACACTTTGGCTACAAGAAGACGAGTGTTAATCTAGTACAACGATTTTGGTGGCTTGGAATGCTAGATGACGCAAAGAAGTACGTAGAGACCTGTCAGGTCTGTCAGCGGGACAAGCCGCGAACTCAAGCACCGCTGGGGTTGTTGAACCCCTTACCTATCCCCGCTGGTCCAGGACAGAGTGTTTCCATGTATTTCATGGACACCCTGGTGACCAGCAAGAGTGGCAAGAGGCACATTTTCGTCTTCATCGATTGATTCACCACGTACACTAGATTAGTTGCCATGCCAGAGACCGCAAGGACTGACCATGTCATCAAGTTGTTCAAGGACAACTGGGTACGTGACTTTGGTTTACCAAAGACAATCGTTAGTGACAGAGATGTCCGTTTCACAAGTGAGCTGTGGAAGAAGACTGCTGAGCAGATGGGCAGTCAATTTCAGATGACTTCAGGGAATCATCCCGAAGCCAACGGACAGGCCGAGCAGATGAACAGAGTTGTACAGCACCTGTTGAGGCATTACATCAAGCCCAGCCAGGATGACTGGGATGAGAAGTTGCCTCTCATTGCCAGCCTGTACAACAACGCTGTACCCAGCAGTACCGGCGTTAGTCCTAACCAGCTGCACTTGGGATGGAAGCCTAGATCTTCTCTAGACTTTCTCCTACCTGAAAACCAATCCTCTGCAACTCCGGGCACACTTGAGTATGGTGTGCAATATGAGAAGTTGCTGCAGCAAGTTGTCGAGCACATCAGGAAACCTCAGCAAGCAATGATTGCTTCTGAGAACAAGCATCGACGACAATCCTCATTTCACGTAGGGGAACGTGTCTGGGTCAAGGCTAGTGAGCTAGGACAGGAATCCGGGATCTCTCGTAAACTAATGCCTCAGTATTTTGGTCCTTGGGAAGTCCTGGATGTAGTGAAGGATGAGATGGATGGTCCTACCTATGTTATCCGTATCCCTGGACACCTACGCACTCACCCTGTTTTTCATGCCTCAAAGCTTGCACCTTTCGCTGAGACGGATCAATTCCCTTCAAGGAGATTGATGCTGCCCCCAACCATGGATGGTCAAGTGGACATCGACGACATTGTGGATCACAGAAATCTGCCTGTTCAGAAGCCATTGGGAAGAGGAAGACCTCCAAAACCCAAGCGGGAGTATCGCATCAGATTCAGGCATCATACAGATCCAAAGGAAGATCGATGGTTCACCAGAGAGGAACTGATTGACACAACTCCTCAAGTGGTGGCACAATATGAAAGAAAGCTAAAAGGGAAGGCACCTGCGAAGTAAGCATCTCAGCGGACTTTCGAAGCTAAGGGGGATGGAATGTGAGGATTGAGCCCTCAAGAAGGGGCCTTGCCATGATGTACATGTTCTGGGCTAAGGCCCCAGCAAGCCTAGTGCCCGCCCTAAGTGAAGGCGGGCCAGCAAATCAACAAGAGCMCTCTGTGCGAACATTTCACGAAGTGGGGTCCATACAGTTGCAGCACGCCAGTTGGTTGGAGTGCACCGAGTCTCSGATCTCTGCAAATGCGGAARTCCCAGGGCCCCTGAGTTGRTTAGGCCCTGGGCACATAAACGTGAGGCCTACAATGCATGATGGATGTAGAGGCCGAAAATGCCAATGGGAAATCGGCCCACTATCTGAATCTGGCCGCAGGCCTTGATGAAAGAGGCGCAACTGCATCGCCTTGGCCCCAACCACATCAGGCCTGGGTTCAGGCACTGGGGCCCAGTCGCAGGTTGACGGGAGGCCACCCACACGCAACACTGGCATATAGGCAAGCAGGGCGAGTGGGCAGGGATCTTGGCCATTGCGGGCAATGCCGGCACGCTGCGCTAATGCGAGCTGCTGCGCTGCGTTAGGATGAGGTGCGAGGCAGGCAGGCGCTAGGCGGTAGGGCGCTGCCTGTGCACAGGGCGCTGGCGGCCATAGCCGGCGTGCCTGAGGGCGCAGGAGAGGTGAGGGTGAAGGTGGTTCTTCGGAGGTGAAGGGCACTGTGTGGGATAACAAGGAAGAGTGTGGGTGAAGGAAGAGAGACGTACCTGGTGGAGGTGGAGGTCGGCATTGGTGTTGACATCATCACTCGCTGGTTGTCAAGTTGTCTGGTTGCTTTCATTCTGTAGTTGTAGGCTTAGGCTGTAGAGTAGGTAGGGCGCCTGGTGCCATTCAAGAGAGAGAGCTACATTGGGTTATGCTGTTGATTCTTCTGTATCATTCTCAAATGGATGGTTACTCGGTTCCATTGTGCTATCTGCTCTTGCTTTGACTACTTGGACTTCAGTGTGATTTTGCAATCTGGATTTCTGTGCTTCGTCCATATTCATGTTCCTTGCACTATAATGACTGGGCGTTCTATTTGGGTGAATACGGTAGTTTGGGGTCAGTCAGTCTGCAGTCTGCACAGTGAAGTCAGCAGCCAGGCACAGATGGTTATGCAATCACACAATGTCTGCCGTTGCCAGCGGGCCAGCCCTCTGGGAAACACTCAAACAGATCATCCACAATTTCCACATCTAGTGTATGGGTCTGTTTGCATAACTTCACAGCTGATACTCAGCCATGCAGGAAGGCAGACCTATCCCGCTGCTTCTGCAGGAGAAATGAGAGACGTTCTGCACCAAGGCTTCTCTTTGCAGTCATCTACCCCATGCCTGGCTGCGCAGACATGCATGCATGATTTGCCTGATAAGCGATGAAGAGCAAGCGATCCCCACAATCAAACAGGAACCACAGGTAACCGGACACTACCGGCAAAGGTGACAAAAGAGGGACATGGATGGAACATTTCCGACTTGCGTTCGCCATAAGGCTATATGCATTGCTTGGGCTCCAAATTACCATAGCCTCCAAAGACGTCCCCCACATATTCAAGTCTGGCGAAGGAACTAACTCCAAGCAAGTCAATAGGACTGGATAGCAAGCACTCATACTAAACGCTATGGTACGCAGTGTCAATCTGGAGCCCTAACTCACATCTAAGGATTAATCTAAGGCGGAAAGCAGCAGCATACATTTGGACAGTTATCCTTCTAAGCAACGTTTCATATCGAAGGTGGCCAGGAAATACATGACTATGAAGATGAAGAAGAAAGACAGGCTGGGTATGCTAGATCCAGAACTACACATTAAGGCCCTTCGGTCCAAATGGGTGATAAAACTGCTTATAAAACACAAATTGCCTTGTGGCCACCGTTGGCAATTGAGTGCCTGAGACAAATGGCGAAAAATACAGCATACCAGGGAATATGAGAGCCAAAGGGTTGCACACCCGCCCACCGCTACCTCGACCGCCGACCATTTTGCAGCCTACAAGCACGCCCGACCCGTCAGTAAACAGCCATCCACTGATTCTTTTTATATGTGACTATGTGGCTGTACTGCGCTTGCTGACTACAGCCCAATCCGCTGAGAAACTTTTGGGGATTGGGGGGTCCGGGGGAGTTATGAGAGGGGTATAGGGAGGGTATGGGGGGGGGATACCGGTCATATAGGGATGGTATAGGAGGGGTATTAGGGGTTTGTGAGGGTGTTGGGGGCCGGTTTAGGGGTGGTGGTGGGTTTTGGTGCTGGTGGGGGGGGGGGGGGGAGTGTATGGGGGTGTTCATGTGATTGTTGGTTGCTGTTTTCTTGTTTTCCGGCATGCTAACGACCCCCGACCAGCCAGCTGGTCAGCTGGTTGGCAGCCGACCAATCAAGGGGCGCCAACCCTCGGCCTGTGCCCAGGGCCGACAAGAGAAATAATGGCTGCAACTGCTAAGAAAGGAACCAGGCAAACGAGGCAGGATAAACCACAGAATGTGGACCAGGACCGAGAAGAGAAATAATGGCTGCAACTGCTAAGAACCTGGATGGAAATTTTCCCAGCCAAGGTCAAGGAACCCAGTCCTAAGGAGGAAGTTCGCAGGCAGCCGATCTTCTGGGGACGAGTAAGTATGGGATATGTTTGGTGTGTATTTCTCCAACCATCGTGATTTACGTTGTATATTAACAGATTATGGGTCCCCAGGGCCTTCACAAGTCAAAATAGACCTTCGGGAAGTCATCAGTCAGGCCCTACCCGGGTGCAGTAGGCCTGGGGTCAAGGGCCAAAGCGAGGTACCCAGGACCTTCACAGGTCAAAATAGACCTAGGAATGTCAACAGGGGTCAAGGGTCAAAACGAGGTGCCCAGTGCCTTCACAATTCAAAATAAACCATAGAGTAGTCACCAGTCGGGCCCTACCTGGGTGCAGAAGTCGGAGAGTCTAAGATTTCTCAAGAGTCAGCCACAGCCACAGCCACAGATCACACACAATTCACATGCTCAGCAAAAAAGACCGCAAGTGTCCAGGTCCCAATGGGTCAAGGCACAGACAAACCACAACAAATTCCTGGCTGTACAGAGCAAGAAATCTCAGCAATTCAAGGAGGCAACTGCAGGAAGGCCCGGCCAAGTCAGAGCCATGAACACTGGGCCTGCCCCAGCTGAGAACTTGGGTTCATTACAGGACAGAGATAGACCGAGGGAGGAAAAGGATTCTGTACTCGCGGGCAACACAGACTGGAATGTAGAGGCAATGATATGAAAAGACTTTCCCTTAAGTATGATACGATGATTCAGAGAAACATGTGGTCAGAACCCGCAATAGACGGAAAACAGCTTCGGATTTGAGAGGGGTATTGAAGGGATGCCACGACCTGGTAGAAAACTTGGACGACGTGCTTATATCCATTCCCCCAAGATGGACCCAACTGCTAGAAAAGGAAAGACGATGGGAATGGGGAGATTGGGCCACATGGAGAGAAGAGGAGACCCCTACTGAAGCCCTGGCATTTAGAAAGAAGGCAGGCCCTAGAAATGACTGGCTCCTGATCCACAGCTTTGACATTGCTGACGCAAAAACAAGTAGAGTCACAACACCGCCAATCTCTGGCCCTACCTCCCTATTCGTAGCACCAGGAGACGTCCGAGTGAGTCATTCATACAAAGACTTGCCAGAGGATAAGGAACCGGACTGACAGTCCCCATAATAGGGGCACAGCCCTAGAGGGCCGTTCTTTCTGCCGGCGGGAAGGGGGGGGGGGAGGAACACGGAGAATGTCCAAGGACGCACAGTTGCAAGTGACGGTCACACCAGTGTTGCTGAGGAAGGTAAGAATGATAAAACATCAAAACTATGCGATATTCCGCCCTACCACAAGTCTTGAAGAGACTTAGAGTCAAACCGGCGGAATGGGCCTGTAATGTGAGAGGTGGACAATTTAAACCACTAGTACCTCCTAGCCTGTTTTTGCCAAGCCTGAATTTTGCTGCGCTCCAAGTTTCCCACTCCATTTTCTTTTCTCGTATTCTCACGGAAAGAACAAAAAAAAAGAAGAAGAAGAAAAGTTGCGGCGGTGAAACTCACAACAGAACGAAAAAAAAAAGGAAACAAAGCTTTGGCCGTGAAATGCAGTTGTACCTTGTATACACTCTTGGAAGTGGTAGTGTGAGTGTGCCGTCTCAGTCCCATGCCAGGTTGCCAGATTCCCAAAAGACAAAGAAGAAGGGAAAAAAAAAGGAAACACAGATGCGGCCGTGAAAATGGCTGGATACATTCCTCTAAGTGCCAGTGTGATCAGGGTTACAACCCTCTGACGAAACACAGCTTGAGCAGATCACAGATTCCACCCTGCCTCATTGGCATGGGCCTCATAAGAATGAGACAAGAAATGAAAAAAAGAAAACAACCTAGGCTGGCCGGTTGTGCCGCCCGATTGGCCACCGGGCGTTCCCAGCGCATGACCGGCGGGGGGGKGGGCGGGCTTTTTTTGACGGCAGGGCCCTTTTCGCCCCCCCAGGACGTGTTGCAGGCCAAAAAAAAAGAAAACGGGTCCTGTAGGCCCCTCCTGAACGATTCAAAATCCCGGCCGATCTGGACCGCTGATCTCGAGAGATCCGTGGCCCAGATAGGCAGCGCTTTTTAATCGTTCAGGGCGGAAACTACCGGACCCGTTTTCGATTCTTTTTGGCCTTGCTCCACTACACAACATTCTAGTTGCATTTGGACGCTTCCGGGGCCGCGTGCATGCATGTAGAGTGTTGTGTAGTGGAGCAAGGCCAAAGCTCCCTCACCTGTGTTTGCCCTCCTGCTGGCCCCGACCTACCTCGCCCATTCCCACGACGACTGCCGGCAATTCGCACGCCCTTGTCTCCTGCAGCCTGTCGTGACGCCGTTGCCTCCAGCTACTAGCCCGCACACCATCGCCCCAGCCCGTCGTCGCGCCTGCGCACCTCTGCGAACCATCGCCTCCAGCGCACTCGCCATGTGCTCCACCGGTAAGTCGTTAGTTAGCTGTTCTTCTTGGGGGGGGAGAGAGAGAGAGAGAGAGAGAGAGAGAGAGAGAGAGAGAGAGAGTTCTTCTTCTTCATCTTTCTTCTTCTTCTTCTTCTTCTTATCGCCCACCGTTTATTACCCCCTGCCCCCCATCTTCCACCACCCATCTTCTTCTTCTTCTTCTCCTCTTCCTCCTCCGCCACTATTTCGTGCACCCCTGCCCACCATCTTTCACCACCCTTCCTTTTCTTCTTTTTCTTCTTCTTCTTCTTCTTCTTATTCTTATTATTCTTATTATTATTATTATTATTATTATTATTATTATTATTTTTCTTCACCTCCTTCTTCTTCTTCTTCTTCTTCTTCTTCTTCTTCTTCTTCTTCTTCCACATACACACCTGCAATATACCTCTGACATACCAGCAAAACAGTCACAATGCACCTGGTTAGACCCCCCGTCAAACCCCAACCCTTCCCTCTTCTCGCGGCCCCCTCCCCCCCCAACCCAACCCCTTCCCACCTGCCCAGATTTACTTTTTTATTGGGGATTCGGGGTCCTCTGGGGGAGCACAGCAGGGCCCCACGTTCCAAAAAAAAGAAAAAATCCTCCCAGGTTTTTGCATCGCCTGGGTTTCCCGGGCGGACCAGCCCAGCCCTGGCCAGTCGGGCTCCGTCTGGCCGGGCACGCCTGCCCAGGCGGCGGCCCAACCTAGAAAACAACAACAGTCAGAATCTCGCCGTTTTAGCTGTAAGATAATACTAAGATTCATTCCGTGGAGGACTACTGTGAGCACGGCCTCCTAGACTACCCTGCCCAACATCATTGCGGTAGCGGGCAATATAAAACAGAACTTTATTCTACCTGCCGAGCCTCTGGAACCTCCGAACTCGGGAACAGCCCATTTTCTCTAATTTCTCAACACTGGCAGAGGTCCTAGTGGTTTAAGACGTCTTGGATATATTGGACTACACAACCAAAAGGCTCATCCTCAGAGCAAGGGCACACCAACTGGAGGAGATAGACAAAGATGGGGAGAGAAGGTCAGAGGAGACCCGGCCAGAATAAAAGAGCTGCCATGGGCACAGTTTTCCACCATCAGGACAGGGAAAGTGCGAAGTTTGCGGTCTCTTATCTTCTACCTAGAATTATCAGTCCATGAATGGCTCAACAAGTGAAGAAGCAAAGACGACAGAAGCAGGCTGAAGGATCTCCGTGCCATCTGCAACGAAGGGCTTATAGAGCATTGTCTATTTTAAAATGTGTAAAGAAGAAGAAATGTGGGGCAAACCCAGAGAGTTATGGCGGACAGCGACAGAGACACCCCTCCCTGAAGATTGACTTATATGCCTGACTGGGCTACATCTCCCACAAGACTGTACCCCGTTCGTAGTAAATTTCTTTCACAAACTAAGGAGATTTAACCTATGGCCGATCTGGAAAAGAAGATGCCAAGAACCCATAAACCAGAAAATAGTCCACACTGCACGCAAAAGAACTTACGCAAGAGTTCAGGCAGATGCTAAAACTCGAATACATAGCGAAATGGCGAAGGACACAGCAGAAAATCCAAGCAAATATGGGAAGGTCCCTGACTATACGGGAAGAGTCCCGGTTGAATGCACTATCCTGGAAAAGGGCAAAATCGCTGAAATTCAAGTGGAAACTGACACCAGCATCTCAAGAAGACATGGCACATTTTGAGAGGCACGCGAACCAGCATCTTACTATCTTAGGAAAGTGAGGACCTAAGAAGCATAGGCTATACTGCACCTTTAAGTAAGGGAACAGTTTATGATAGCGGGACATGGGACATTTAAAGAGCTTTATAGGGAGTAAAATAGAGGATGGATCTGTCGTGAGAAACCAGAATGGCGAAGGTCAATCTTTCCCACCTGGGAAGCAATCAATACCCCAGTTCTTCGGTAACAAAGGAACCCTGACAGGACAGAATAGAACTACACTAGCAATGTACGCTGAAGCAGGCATCTGATACAACTAGCTGAGAGTAGTTCTATTTCAGTTTCACAAAAGACGGTTGAGCATAGGCAAATCTTTCCAACTACGGAAACAATACACACTGCTGTCTCAGGGTTCCTCAGCCATAACGAAGGAAAGCGTAGTCTACTTCTTCTATGTCAGGGACGCTGAACCCGGTTCTCAGCACTAGTGGAGTGGTTTCTTCCGAACCAAAAAAAAAAAGGACTGGATAGCAATTGAGGAACACACAGGGAAAGAGAAGCGGCGAGCCAAACGTACAGTGGGTTATTGAGTCGGGGAGAACGAACCACTCTTCTCATGATGTAACGGCGGAAATTGGTGTCGTCTGATAGAACATCCGCAACCCTCAGTGTGTTCAGGTACAGCTGCCCACCCGGAGGAAATTCGCCATCCTTTATCTCAAGCTCGTCCAACAACACTGCTCTCAAGTGTATCAACACCTGCCAAGCAAACCACAGGTTCGACCATCGCCATTACACACCAAACCACAATTAGGCCAGTCCTCATCTAAGACAAGTCCAAATGGAGGCAGACAACTTCTCTCTCTCCTTCTCTTTCGTTCTTGTCCTTCTGACCCAAGCTCACAGTGTTCCTTTGCCAACTATTGAAAATGAGCAATGCATGTGTGTACATACACACAAACTCTCCCTTCAGTGTTTGCCAGCAAAGAACACCCCTTTCGTGTATGCGCATCATCCCGGTCATTCCGTGTGTGTGACCTTGCATGAACGTCCTTGTCCTTTCGGAATACCCATAGCACGCAGGGTGATCACCAGTCTTGACCAACAGCCATAGACATCAGAAGCCACCAAAAACACTGCAAGGACAATGACGACAATGAAGAAAACAACACCGGGAATGGTGACGAGGAGGATGACGATGACAACCACGACAACGACGACTACTGACAACGAGGACGAAGACGACTGACAACAACGACGACGATGACACCAACAGCAGCAACAACAACAACAACAACACCAACACCACCCACCAACACCACCCACCAACAACACCACCCACAACACCACCGACAAGAACACCGACACAAAAAACAACAACAACAACAACAACAACAACAACAACAACAACAACAACAACAACAACAACAACAACAACAACAACAGCACCGACACCACGAACACCACCCACAACACCCACACCAACCACAACACCACCGACAACAACACCAACACGAACAAACAAACTAACCACCACCACAACCACAACAAACACACCACACCACCACCACAACAACAACAGCAACCACAACCACAAGCACCACCACCGCTACAACAACAACAACAACAACAACAACAACAACAACAACAACAACAACAACAACAACAACAAGAAGCACCACAACCACCACCACCACAACAACAACCACCACAACCACCACAACAACAACCACAACCACAACAACCACAACCACAACCACAACCACCACGGCCACCACAACAAGAACCACCATCACAACCACAACCACAGCAACCACAACAACAACAAGCACCACAACCACGACCACCACCACCACAACAACAACAACCACAACCACAACCACAGCCACAACCACAACCACCACGAAAAGCACAACCACCACCACAACCACAACCACCACAACAAGAACCACAACCACCACCAACCACTACCAACCACCACAACCACAACCATCACCACCACAACCACCACCACCACCACCACCACCACCACCACCGCCACCATCACAACAGTGGCACAACCACCACCACCGCCACCGTCACAACACTGTGGCACAACCACAGCCACTAGCACAACCACCACAACCACTGCCAAAACCACCGGCACAACCACAACCACCACCACCACCACCACCACCACCACCACAACAACAACAACAACAACAACAACAACAAACAACAACAAACAACAACAACAATGATCTCTCATTGACGAGACTTCATTTGTCTCAGAAGCTAAGTTATGACACCTGTCCACCCAGACCTTGCTTAGACAGACAGTCTGGCCAGACAAGTGGGGGGTTCCTTGCAAGGGGGAAAGGACAATCTTTCCAGGGGTGTTTAGCTCTGTTACGGAAATGTCTCGGGTGCAGGCCTAAAGCGAATAAGAACATGAGGTTTCCCTCAAAAAATCAGTACTTCTCATTTTTGGTGTTTTCGGGGGAGTTGGGTGTGTAGTGGGTAGTCAGAAGACCGGGCTTGGCGAGAGGGTAAACCAGAATTCTTTTCCGTGATCATTGGACATAAAAAAGACCGCGACGTTATGATCCTGGCCAATTTCGAAGTACACATTCATCAGATAGTACAATGCCGTCCAATTGCAGAAAGAAATGAATGAACTTGAGAGGAGAGAGAGGGTAAGAAGAAGAAGACGAAGAAAGAAAGAAAGAAGAAGAAGATGATGTACACCAGCATAGAAAAATGATAACGCTCTTCTTCTTTGCCAAACACTCTCGTCCTCCTTTACTCCTCTCTTATTCACACAAGAAATAATAGTACAATGTTGAATGGCTGAACCAGAACCAATGTCCGAATCCCTCTTCTACTGCAGCTATCACTTGATGTCCACCATAGCCGTGGCCGCCTACCTCACTCTTCACTCTCATAGGCTATGGCGGACTGCTCGGACCTTGCCCTGATGTCCAAAGGACAACGCAAAGCAGCTATGGCTGCTCTAGCTCAGGCCGCCATGCCTGACTCTGCCTCGAAGCTTCTTGGTGTAGCTCTGCCCCCACGGGGACCTTCCTGCTGCAGCGCCCACCAAGGTGATGAAGATGGCTGCCACCATAGTCAGGTAAGTACCTCTGGAGCTCCCCCTTCCTCCTGGTCTTCTTCCTCCTCCGTGTCCTTGCTCCTTCCCCAGCAGCGCTGCTCTTGCTAGCGCTGCTCCAGCCAGCGCTCCAACCAGTGTGTCGCCAAACTTGCACACCGACAATGAGGCTGGGCTCTTCGCCCGGCCTGGAGATATAGCGGCCTGCTTGCCTCTTGGGCGATGACTTCCAGGCAGCTCGGCCTTCCAAGCAACCGGTACCTCCTCCCTTTTGGAAGGAAACATCATTGCAGACTCTGATATTGCCCGTACAGGCCCAAGACTCAGACTGGTTGGACTGGTACCCGCCTGGACCTAGCCTACAAATATTGGGCCTCAAAAATGCCAACTTTTGTCTTCTTCTGACGGCCTAAAGTACCCGGCACATCTACCTCTTCAGGGTGTGGTACCGGCCTACCTGCTACTTAAGTGTTTCCCCGCTGCTTCGAGTGTTGCGGGCCTCTTCCTCCCCACTTGAGTGTTTTCCCCGCTGCAATCCTCAATGCCACGGCCACAGGTAAGTACCGGCCCTGAGGGCTCAACGAACGGACAAGTGCGCTTGCGGGTCACACACACACTCAAGCCAACAAGCACTAAGAGAGATATGCAGACCCGCAAGCGTGCACACACAGAGACATGCAGACCAAAAAGCATGCACACACAGAGACATGCAGACCAAAACGCGTGCACACACACAGACTTAGAGAACTTAGTAGCAAACTGGAAACTCAGCAAGGCATTCAGTCCATGATCAAAACTCAGAAATCAGCTGTGTGTCTCAGTCCGTGTTTGGTCAGTTCATCACACTACCCCCCCTCCTTAAGACCGAGGTCCCTTCAAACGAGTAACTCAGTCTGAGTCCCCGACAAACGCATCGTAAGCAAACAAAGCAAAGAGATTTCGAGAGTATTCTGTTGCAGTGAGCTTTGCAGAGATTTTTGGAACAGCATCAGAGGCGATTTGTCATTTGGAAGGCTTTAACAACGCGAGGTGCGCTGTGCAGCAGTTCCTTCTTGGAGATCCCGTAGAGATCGTCCAATGGGTGCTACATAAAGTGCACCTGGTACTGTCTGTTACGTCCCTTCCCTACATGCTGTTTGATTCTATGGATCTCATGACCGCCATCGATTGCACGACGAATCATGTCTTCACGGTAATCAAAGGACGTCGCATCACGGTGGATATACAGTTTTGATGCATGAAAGACGGGGTATGTTCACAGATGAGGTGGCACAGCAACTGTGTATGAGGGGCCAAACCCATCCTTGCCAATCACATCCAGAACTTCCCATGGACCATAACAGAGCGGAAGAAGTTTGCATGAGACTCCCTCTTCTTCTGAGAATTCAGACATCTTGACCCAGGCATAACTTCCTACTTCGATATCCGAAGGACGACACTTCTTGTTTGCATGATGGATCATTGCGTGCTGTCGCTTTGTCATTGCTGCGATGGCAACTTTGAGCAAGCGGTCGTACTTGGCCCTAAAGCCAGGCCTGCCGGGTGTTAAACCAGCTGGCTGTTCAGGGAATAGGTAGGAGAGCGGATTACGAATCTGCCAACCGTAATGCAGCTTGTTTGGCGTCATGCCGGTGGAAGAATGAATGGAGTTGTTGTACAACCCGTTGACGGAATACAGGTCTTCATCCCACGTCTCCTGATCCGGAATGTCTAAGCGCGTAGAAGTTGAAACACAGTCTGGTTGATTTCCTCAGCCAAACCATGGGCTTCGGGATGTCGGCCAGATGTCATGCATAGTCTGAGGCCAAGGAGTTGGGATGTGAAGTCCTTCTATTCGGGACTTGTGAAGCGCGGGAGAGTTTTTGGGGTTCCGAACTGCAGAATGTACATTTGTTCGAACTTACTGATCACCAATTCAGTTGGGGCATGAGATGGCAAAGGAATCAGATTGAGGAACTTAAAGAAGCGGTCAACAATCACCATTACTTGCGAATAGTCGTTCTTACTTACCTTTCCCATGTCGATGAAGTCGATAGAGACGGACTCCCCCGGTGCATCGGGAACGGGAAGGGGTGTAAGTAGCCCCATGGGCTTTTGTCTACATGGTTTGATTCGTTGACAGACTTGACACTCAGCCACAAACTTTTCAGCAGATCCCTTCATACCAGGCAGGCTGTTACATCTTCGACGCCACACGGGTCCTACCGGACCCGACTTAGGGCCAGAGGGACACAGTAGGGCCTAAAGGCCCGACCTTGGGGGTACTACAGGCCGTAAAGGCCTCACTTTGGACCAGACCCGACGGGCAGGCCCAAACGACATTACCGTTTGGGCCTGGTGGCGCTCTTGAGGCTGCCGCCCGCCGGTTGGGGCTGAACCGTCCATCTTGATGGTTCAGGGCACGGCCAGGCCTCGCAGCATTGAGGCTGGCCTCTGCCCCACCGGTACAAAAGACCGGTCCGGCCTCACTTCAGGCCATCGACCCACCGGCACTCTAGCGGTGCGGTATGGTACGGCGCGACAGCGCTGGCGCTATTTTGAGCGCAGGAGCGGAGAACAACAGCAGCAGCGCGAGCTAGCGCAACAGCAGTAGCGAGCGAGGAGACCAGCAGCAGCACGGCGGCCATAGCCGCCTCGACAGCAGCCGGGCAGGTACCAGGAGGCGAGGATC